TACTGGTTACATATATGCTATGATGCACAATCGTGAGTCATGTGAGAGCCTCAGTTGACTCATATGAGTCAACTGTGTAATTTGCCTAAACTAATCATACTCCTTATAATAACTCATATTTGCTAAGTGCATCACATGTATAAGACTTGTGACTCATAAGTATGAGTCACACTCAAAAATCATAACATCATATGACTCACAACTGGTGAGTCATCACATAACAATAAACACCAATTACTCGCAATCGCGAGCTATGTGAAACCAATTGTTTCTTTTTATCAATCTACTATATTACAATCCGGTTTGTGACAACTAGTCATAAATGAAATGAGTAACTCTTGAGTCTTCTTAGACAAATCTCTGTCTGCAGAAACAAATCTCAATTGGCCTAGATTTATTCTGAATCTATACAGCTCATCTCCACCTAAAAAAAAAACCATGTTCTTAAAGATGTACTAAAAGTTAGTATATATTTTATCTGAAATATGAGATGCGCAGGAACTCATCTTTTTTTATTTTCATCTTCTTTTTCTAATAAGATAGGATAGAGGAGCGGTTAGTAGTAGTGGAAGAGGAGGAGGAAAAGGCATTAGGTAAAAGAAGAATATTTACTAGAAGTATGGTAGGCTGGAGGAGAGTGGACCTCACTTGGGCAGTTGGGGAAGTATAAAAACATTTTTGGATAGAGGGAAGGGAGGTAGTCTACCACTTCTGCCATATAGTTGGTCTCTCACTTTCCATCAATAGGAGTAAGGACCATGAGATATCTATTAAAGGATTAGTAAATACGTACTTAGTAGAGAGATTATGGAATTGGGAAATGGGATCTTTAGAGGAGGGATGAGGCGCACAATAGTTTTGAAGGTATGGAGGAAGAAGAGCTAGATTTCCACTATGAATAGATTGCCAAGTATTAGGGAGACTTATACTTGTCATATCCTGACATTTGTGAAATGGACCAGGCTTACATGGTGGCACACAGGGGTGAATTTTGGGTAAGAATGAATCTGAATAGGCATAGTAGAATAGTTAATGTATACTATAGTATTATTAAGTAAAAAAAATAGGAGAATTCATAAAGTATACATTACATCTAGACATTTTAGTAAATATCAACAACAAGGAAATTCATCAAAATGTCAATACTATGAGGCCGAACAACATCAATAGCTAAATGTGGCCTGATTGTTGAATACTCTATGCTAGAAGAATCACAAAAGATGAGTTTAGCAAACATTTCAGTAAAAACTGGGGTGCTAATTAGTACCTGTTTAAATGTTATCAGAACAGCACATCAGCAAGCTAGCGAAAAAAGAATCCTGATCTTTGTAGCAATGAAAATCTTACTCCACTATCAAACTCGGCAAAAGGCTAAAACGAGGTCTTAATACAAGAACAGAAGGAACATTTGGTAGAGGTTACTCTGCAAGATACAGATTATTGCAGTATGACCTTTGCACAATTAGCAGAAGCAGGTACTGGAAGCTGATATTTAATTTTAATTTTCTTTATTTAATTCATAATTAAAGTTCGAACATGTAACTAATAATTAGTATTTTTTTAAAAAAAACAAAGCGGAACTGAATGTGAGCAGGCAGACAGTTTCTAAAATACTACATGAAAATAAAATATATCATTGAAAGTTAGTCTGTAAACCAACACTTGGTCCAGAACAAATGGCAAGATGACTTGCCTTTTGTTATCAATATCAAAATTATAATTGGAGGAATATTATCTTTACAGAAAAGTCCTATTTTAAAATTGGAAATCTGCGGTCCTGCAGAGCCCGTGAAGTACTCTGCCGAGTTGGTGAGTCCATTGGCCACAAAACATAACTGTTGCCGAAGGGGTAACAGTTATATTTTAAGGCATCCAATCCTTGATGAAAAAGCTGGTATGTATGAGTATATTTTTGATTATATACTTTTTATAATTTAATTTATACTATTTTATATCCAAAGTTATTGTTTATATTTTAACCAATTTGATTTCTAATATGTACATATTGTTTGATACTAATAAATTATTTAATATATATTAGGCTATGAACTCCCTTATCATATGTATAGTACTTTATATAAGACGGCCAACAAATGGAATGAATTCACTCTTGCTCTTCAAAGAGAGTATCAATTAGAGCTGGTAGCAAATCAACATGCCAGGTCCTTGGAATTGCCAATCCTGTTTTCGGATCCTGTATTGAAAACTCAGAAAGTGGATAGAAAATGGGGCATTGACCAGTACATTTACTTTAAGCAAATTCTTAACACCCTTTTCTATCCATTTACCAGCTGGGTAGAAGTAGAGTTTCCTGTGAGAGATATTGTAATAATGGAGGACAATGCTCCAGCACATGTCCACCACTATCACAATATTTCCTGTGAACAGCTTGCATTTCCAAAGCTCATTTGGCCTGTAAACTCCCCAGGTTTGAATTCAATCAAGACAATTTGGACTGAACTAAAGGGCATTTTACATGAAAAAATTGGTTCATAAATGACTGTGTGACTGATTCACATTACTCTTGAAGAGGTAAATTGAAAATCCAGTTATTATTATTTTTTATCTAATACTATTCTAGGCTTGGAACAACTACCTACAGGAAATAAACAATTATCATATTGACTCCATGTCTCAACAGATTGCAGCTTGTATTGAGGATGAAGGAGGAGACAATTTTAATTTTTAATTTCTATAATAATTATAATGTATAATAAATAATCCTTGTTGTGTTGCCATTTATGTTCAATTGATTCCTTTTCGAGCTCTTCTGTAGCTTTGTACACGTCCCTCTGCACCCCCCTGCAAGCCCTGTCCATTTCACAAACGTCACGATACGACGAGTATGTGTGATTTTCATGCTGATTGCTTGGCAAAACATACCTTAATTAGACAGTCCGGCACAGTGTCCAATTATTCGAGTTTTTACGGTAATCAAGTTACTATTGATTGTCCAAGCTCATCGCCTAAGATTATCTAGACAGGTATCATACGGTAAATTAAGCACAGTGCTATGAAAGGTGTTGCAAAAGAAATCCCAAATTTTTTTAATATAATGCACAGCAGCCAAAAGTAGAAACCCCTTCAATGTTATTCCCATCCGACCCAACCCATTTTAAACGCCCCCAATAGCAAACTAAGTTAAAGCACAATTTGAGGGGAAAAAAAAAAATCCCCACATTCACTGTGTTTCACTCCCGGGCACAACTTCATACCCGTAGCTCGAAAACTGCGACAAAGGCGGGGGTAACGGGAACGTCTCCATCAAGGAACTAGGCAGCAACTGACTAACCGTGATGGGCCTCCTCCTCTCCTCTCTCTCTTCCACTACCGCCACTTCCTCCTCCCCCTCCTCCCCCTCCTCCCCCTCCTCCCCCTCCTCCTCCTCTTCCTTATCCCCCCCCTCAAGCAGTTCCCCAGCCGGCAAACTCTGCGACGAAAACCCACCAGTCAACACCGCTGGCAGTGTCGGCGGCGAAGACTCCCTCCCATCGCGATGGTAAAAACTCGACGGCAATTGCTGCGTCCGCACCGGGTTGAACGCATGTAATCCTGAGTCAATATCACCATCGCCATCACCATCATCGCCGTCGTCTCTTTCGAATTCGTCTTCACCCATGCTTTGAGTTGGTGGCGGCGGGAGTATTTCATCGCCATGGTGGCAGGGAAGTTGCGACTCTTGGGACTCTTCGGCTTCCGGTTCGCCTGTGGCGGCGGGAGGAACAGAAGGTGGGGGAGGGGGGATAGGGGTGTCTCGGAAGTTGATTGGGATTTGGGTCGTTGTAGTCATGATATTGACCTGAGAATGCTCCTGGGTGGCATGTGGAGATGGGGAGGGCGGAGAGGGCGATTGGGTTTCTTGCTTGATATCCCTGGTAGGCAAAGAAGGCGAAGGAGAAGATAGGGGGGAAAGTGAATTCACGGTCGTAGGTTCCGAAGTACTCGATGGATCCCCAGCATCCTCCACCCCACCGAGAACTTCCTCCCCACCGGACCTCTGCGTAGAAATGCACAACTCCTCATTCTCCCACCACTGACTGCTCTTAACAACCCTTTCTTCCCCCTCCCCCTCCAACTGAAATGGAATACCCCCACCAGCCCCCTTCGGTGTCCACGGTGACCCCGGTGGCGAATGTGAACTTGGCACCTCCCTCCGCCTCTTCTTTGGCGTTTCTGGTGGCCCCATCTCCTCCCCCTCGAAACTCTGTGTGGCAAGCCCGAATTGCGTCTCGGCGATCTCGTCGTCCGAGGCATACACCCTCTTCTTCACATTGTTGCCACCGCTGCTGATAGTAGTGGGGGTGGCTCCCTTGCTGAAACCGAAAGAGGACAGCGCGGATTGCCGTGATGGTGTAGGTGATTTCGAGGACTTTGTGCGGACGTTCTTGATAGTATGGTGGTTTGGGCCAGCGAGGCGGGTTTGCTTCGGGCCAGTGCGGGGGGTGGAGGGTTGTTTTCTGGGCATTTTTGGGCCTCCTGGTATGTTTTGGAGTGGTTGGTGGTGGGAAGGGAAAATATAATAATATTATTATGATAACATTCTGGTATAGCACGGTATGGTATGGTAGAGATGTGTTAAATTAAGTCGAGTGTGTGAATTGGTGAGTTGTGCACTCTTGCTCGTTCCCTTTCGAATTCCCTCCGTCTCACGATTTGCCAAGCAAAGTCCTCTCCTTCCCTTCTTCCTTTCTTCCTACCTTCCTCTGCATTGGCCTGCAGTTCAGGAGGAAGAGCAAAAAGGGAGCGATGGCAGACGCGACTACGGGAAAGTTAGTCGCAGCGGTTAGGCTAAAGTACGCCCTGGTCACGCTTCTACTCGTACGCGACGCGCAGGAAAAATTTACACTTGGTTTACCTATTTGGGAATAGTCTCTATCATAACATCCAGTGCGGCACAACACAGCACAGCGGACAGCAACTTACACTAACCTGAGTAGAAATATATTCAATGCCATGTCATCAAATGAATACTAACTTGACTACCACCCTAGCAGAGCAGCTCAACTACATCAACTGACTTGGCCATTCTCAAATTATGAACTTAATGACCTCATCCTGTCCTACTCGAGCCCCCACCTATCCGGTAAAGAAGCTACGTACCGTATCGCGTGCAAAAATCACAACTTGAACCCCTCCACCGTATAGCAATCTCATCTTCTTCCACCAAGAGCCAACATCATGACACAGGTAATAAATAGACGTATGAGGAAAAAAGGAGGACAAGCACATGCAAATGAAGAATCGGGCTATGAGAGTAGCAGAAAGAAGTAGAAGAAAAAGAAAAGAAGAAAAAGAAAAAGAAAAGAAGAAAAAGAAAAAGAAAGGGGAGAAGAAAAGAAAGTTAAAAGAACAACTGGAACGAACTATGTTATGACAAAACGCAATCAGAAACGCAAATCAGTTTCGCCTCTCTCTCTACCTTAAAAAACCTTTCCCAGAAAACGAAAAATGAGACTTGTGTAAAGGAACGAAAGAAAATATCAGATAAACAGAGAAGAGAAACAAAACGCCAGGTTAGTCGGTGATGTTGCTTTTTATTTTTTGCTTCCCCATCGTCCGCTAGCACGCTATGAAAGGTGGAAAGCTCCCTGCCCCTCTTGTATAGCGATAGACAACCGCTTCTTGAGAATTTCGAAGGTAGAGTAATCCGGGAGCTTTAGGTAGTTGACGCAAGTCATGACACTGGGGAGGTAATCATCCGAAGTGTAAGGCGGCTCGCTTGGTTTGCAGACCACAGTGAAAAGCGGTGTCAAACTCTTGAAGCCTATTAAAAGTTAATACCACACCTCCTATAAAAAGACAGGCAGATACCTACCTCCAATGGGGAGCTTCGGGCTGCCAGTGACAAATTGGAGAAAGTCGCGACGCTCCTGGGCACTGAACTCGCTCATGGCAGTCAAGAGATTACGCACGCTCTTGCTATCCATATTGAATCCATGATCGGCCTTAATAGAGTCCATCAACGCTGAAGATAAAAAAAAAAAACGGTTAGCAACTCTTCACTGAACGAATAAAGGGTTGAGGACTCACTCTCAAGAGACCAGTCCTCTTCATTGCGACCAAAGAGCATTACCAACTCATCGGGCGTGAAGGCTCTCAGCGCAGAGTAAGGGAAGACCTGTGAGAACCCGCTACGGAAAGCCTCAGCTTGACGCCGAACACCGCTCCCAAGGGTAAGGTCAATGACTTTGTCGACATATCCCTTCACATTATCAATAGTAACCATAACATCACTACCACCTGGAATGAGCTCGATATGCGGATATCCTGGAAGCGTGAAGTCAAGCCCAAGTTCCTCCACATGAACCCCGTCAAACATAATCTGAGCAGCCTTCTTAGCCTTGCCGCCCTGAGTAAGAACCCTGTTGTTGTCAATTTCCTCCTTAGCCAAAGCAAATTTCCTCAAAAGCTTCAGGGAGCTTGCGAGATCCTTATCGACGGTCTTGACAGCACCGAGGGATGGCGCAACGGCTTCATCTACGTTCTCGCCAGTACGGAAAAAGGTCGGGTTGAAGGATATGTCGATGATGCGCGAATCCAACATTGAACGCGCCACAAATTTACCCAACATGGTGAACAAGTGCAAAACCTTACACCCATTCTCGGACTCCGCCATAGGATCACTCATAGGCGCCGGGAACAGCCCCTGCTGTCCAAAGGCAAACTCACTCTCGGGCGAAGACTCGTTTTCCCTCCAGAGCTTGATCTTCTTCCTAGCGAATGCCCTAGATACGCTGGAGTAAAATTCAAGAGTAGGTCCAAGCCCAGTGCCAACCTCTTCAAAATACTCAACCTCAAGAACGCTAGGGGAGGCGCCATAAAGATCCATAACCTTGATGGCAGATTCAAGTATACGAAGCCTAGAAATCCGAACTTTCTGTCTCTGAAGCCTGCCAAGGAACGGCCGGTTATCATCTCGGTGGCGATCTTGTCTAGAGTCGCCAGTGGACTGAGAATTCTGCCATCTGGTCATAGACCTTGAATATCCGAAGGAAGTAGACTGTAAAAACAAATGACGGGTCTCGAAGGGGAACAAAAATGGATAAAGTCTGGCAAGGTCCTCGCTCCAACTAGGCAGGCAGGCGCTTGCAACAATCAAGGGCTCCTCTAATTGACGATTTAACTTAGCAGTCAATTTCGTATTGACAAACTGGCTGAGAGGCTGTGGGCTCTTTGGTTTCATAGCCTCCCGATCTCCTGTAAACACATCATCAAGATTCGCGTTGAGTGCATGTAGGATGCTTAGCAACTGTAAAATTGAAGAAGAGACCTTATTCTTATCAAGTGAAGCGGGGAATCCAGTGCTGATCTGGGAGCCATCAGGAGCAGGGGAGAGCGAGCCCTCTGGGGGCGTGGGACCTGTGACTCTCCGGAATTTGATGGGATGAACAGTTGACCATACATTCCTAAAGGTTTGATCCTCAGCTGTATCGTTTCTCCCCAACTGCACTGCTCTATAGATAGTCATGTCATTAGAGATAACGTGATCGCCAATACTGAACTCGATATGCCAGTCAAGCGGAGAGGGAATTGCACCCGGATAGCCGGCCGGAAGACCTCTGTTTGTCGGTGTGGATGTCTGCGAAGATCCAGGGTTGCGGGTAGCAGGAGGAGCACCAGAAGGAGTTGCCACCCTAGTTCCATCGTCTTTGCGAGCAGTAACCTTACCAGTAGTACCCACTTCCAAATTAACCGCCCCGGCCTCAGGCTCAGGTTCCTCATCCAAATCCCTATCCAAATCCTCCAACACAGTATCCATCTCATCCATGTCATCATCTTCAGGAATTGGCCTCTCATCCATACACTCAAGTGGCGCTTGCCCGGAAGGCTGAGTTGGTTGATTCTCACGTTCGGCACCTGGAACCTTCCCACGAGAACTGCTGGCCGATGCGCCCTCTAGATTGGATCTCTTATTCCTCGATTGGCGTCTCGCCTGCCTCGGCCTAGGAGGAGCCGGAGTGGAAGAAGACGCAGCGTCCCCAGGAAGGCCACCCGGTCGAGAATTGGGTGCTGCTAGCCCTGCCGCCGCAGCAAATGCCGCAAGAGCATTGGAAAGCCCACCCCCCCCTGCGCCACCCGGATCCCGGCGCCCGCTTCTAGGTCGCTCTGATAAGGAAATCCTGGGTCGGAGATAGTCGTCCAGGGCCTTAAACGTAGCAATGGCATGAATAGATACCATGATATTACGGTAGGGTCGAGGGATTTCGGAATCCTCATCAGCCACCAGCCTCAAGCGCAACTGCTTCGCCAGCATAGATGCAGCACTACTGCGGTTTCCGTCGAAGGTATTCTGGTGAACCGTAACAACCTCAAAGTGCTCAGAGCGACTGAGAAGATCTTGAAGTTTGTGAACCAAAACACTGAAAGGCGTATCCCCCTCACTGCTAGCAGCCGGATGCGCACCACTACGCATGAACACCTCAAGGAAAGCCCGCCTAATGTCTATAGTCCGTAGATCTGTAATCAGTTAGCTAACCACTAACATACAAATAGAAAGGAGTAAGCATGCCAGAACTACTGCCCAAAACAGCTAGCAAAGCCTCCACAATATGAGAGTTCAAAAGCTCAAAACTAGAGATCGAACTCAGTGAGTTATCATTATCAAAATATGTCGCCAATCTCTCAAATAAGGACTCTGTGCTATCCCCAGACTTGAGCCCTGTGGCCAAGCTCTTCAATTCCTCCATAATCGTCATTGCCTTCAGTTTGGTCTCAGTATTCTCGTCCTTATCGTGACCCTCCATGAACCTCTTAGCCTTCTCAGTGATCCAATCAGCCATTCCGGTTGAAGTGCTTGCTGGAACATGTCGGGACGAGGACGAAGACCTAGAGCTAACAGGGGAAGAACTCATACGATCCTCGCTATCTCTAGAATCCTCAGACTCTCTATCAATGTCCCCACGCTCGGCAGCCTCCTTTTCCAACGCCGCCTGCTCATCCTTCTTGGACGCAAGCTTAGAAATCTCCGAAATAACTCCCTCGCGGTAAAAGTGATACTGGTAAATCTCGGGTAAACGGCGAAGGAGTAATTCAGCAGCCTGTAACGCCGCCAATACAAGGGTAGGATGGTCTTGCTGCGAGAGTATAGACGCCAAATGTGAAGCAAACTGTACACTTGACAGTGATTCCTTGAGTATATCCGCATCCAGATTGGATATCATCTTTAACTGTGCATTGAGGACCTTCTGGCGAACACTAAGATTGACAGTGCTCGAGTAGGCATCCGTCAGGGTCGGCAAGAGGACCGTTGCAAAACGTTTCATCTCGCCCTTGCAATTCTCCAACAGTTTGCGTCGCTTATCGTCCGGATCGTCATCGTCATCTTCTCCTTCATCCGAGGGAGCTTTGGTTGTACCCCCGGAACTATCTTGGGAGTCAAAGGCAGCACCAAAAACATCATCTATGCGAACGGTTAACACTAAGAAAATAGGGACAGCGATGGGACTTACCATGTGGAAGGCCCGGTAGCAATTCGCATATAACATTTAGTGTCTCAGATACTTGCTCTCTTGGTCTATGGATAAGGGCTTGCATAGTCATAACACTATCGTTCTTCATTGCAGCCCCATCATGCGCAACCGGGGGCGAAACCCCGGTCAAAATCTGATACAAAGTATCCACAATATTCATTTTAAACATGTCCACAGACAGTCTAGGGCTAGCCTTAGCAATGATCGACAGGACACGTAGGAATTGCGTATGAATGTAAGGTCCAACAAGATTTGTCGTCCCTGGAAGGAGTAGCTGTAAGATGGCATTCATCATCTCTTTTGACATGAGCTGTTCCAATTTATCGGGATAGTGACGGAAACTCTCCACTATTCTCGCCACACACTGGCAAGCTTGCTCCACAACCTTCTGATCACTGCTCCCCAAAACATTCAATAGGATAGGCATAACATCCCGAACTGTAGGGAAGCAGTCATCAGGAATATTTCGACAGCAGTTAGCCGCAGTGGTAACTGCTGTCCTCTGAACATTGGTAGCGAAGAAATCAAGGTAGGTAAGACAGGCCGTCAGTCCCCCTTCCCGCACAATAGATGTCGGGTACTCTACAGATATTTTCTCAAGAGTCTACGCGAAACCAATCAAAGTTAGTCATCATATCACAACTTCAAGTGGTAAACAGGTAAGCTCACACTCAAAGCCTGCTCAGCCAGATCAATGTACTGGATTTCCATCAACTTCCGGCAAAGAACGGGAACTGCACCACCGTACACAACGTTCGCAGTAGCCGCCGGCAAAGCCTCCATAAGATTCGCGATACAACGACAAGCTAACAGCATCATCTCAGGGTTCTCTCCGAACGGTCCCTGATCCTCCATCAAGCTCACAAGCTCCTTCACAAACTGATCGGGTGAAAAGTGACCAGAAAGGTTATCTTCGGTTGATACCAGCAAGATCTCAGCAAGCTCCTGCAAAGCGATCAATTGTGTAGAGGGGTCGTCTTTCTGACGTAGGCTGGCAAGGTTATCGCGAAGTCGAGAAGGAATGCCTGACACCATCCCAGAAAGCGCCCGCAGGGTGCTTGAGAGCCCGCTAGACCCACCAACCCCTCCGAGATAGCTCCCCTCAAAGACGTCATCCTCGTCCTCGTCCTCACGTTCATAGTCCTCATCTCGGTCCTGGTCATCGTCGTCTCCCGCTCCCTGGTCGGCCATATCCTCATCATGGTCTTCGTCAAAGTTATCTTCCTCCACCTCATTTGGCTCACTCATCGGGACGTCGGGGTCGTTGTGTTCTGGGTTCATTTTTGGTGCGGCACGACGAGAAGAGGATGAGAAGGCAGAAGAAGGTGTGGCGGGGTTATCTATGCAACGCTTAGTCAGTGGGAACCCTCAAAACCATTGGGTGTAAATAGATAAACTACCTCCTGCCGATTTCTTGCTACGGCTTCCTCTACGCCTTGGTGTCGCAACGTCAGGTGTTGTGATCGAATTACTAGGCTCGCCAGCAGGTCTATGGTGATTAGCACGGAGGTAAAACATACCCAAGAAAAAATTGTGTATTGATAAAAGGAAATAGTAAAACATAGGGCAGAGGCTGGATAGTAGAAAACAATGTTAGGAAAAAGAAAAAAGAAAAAAAAAAAAAGGGAAGTTACCCTTGATCTCTCATATCAAGCTCCGCGCGCTTCCCCTTCCCCTTTCGCCGACTGGATTGCGGGGCGGCAGGGATTTCGGGTTGTTGAGCAGAGATTGAAGAAAATGAGGCCGCTTTGGAACGTTTCCGGCTCCTAGCTTGAGAAGTAGGGGGCTCTGAAGCCTCCGCTGCCGTAGCCGAGTTTTTGCGTTTGCGAGGCGGTTTAGAAGGGGATGGGGCAGCGGTAGTAGTGGCAGTGATAGCAGTGGAAGTGGTAGCGGTGGGTGGAGTAGCAACAGGGGTTTGGGAGTTGCTGTTACTGGCTAGCGAGGCGGCCTGGTCCGACAATTGTCTCGTTGATGAACGAGTTACTCTGCGAGGAGGCATGAACAAGTGGACTTTAAGGCAATTTGTGGTTTTTTTTTGTTGCGGGAAGGAGAAATGATGGGTGAGCAGTACTCGAGAAGGAAGAAATGGTGTATAACTACCTTCGTGGAAGATTGGTGTTTTCGCTGCTCGTTGTTGTAGTTGTTGCGGTTGTGTATGTGGGAACGAGAGTGGAGGTGGGGATGGAGGTGAGTAAGGGTGGGAACAAGGAGGCAGCTGAGGAAGTGGAGGAAGAATATCTGATCGGGTCGCCCGTGGGTGCACTTGCAGTGGGAGTGAATGTGGAAACAAGTGAACCCGAAGGCCGCGGGGATTTTCGAGAGGGTAAGGATAGAGGGGTCGATGAAGGGTTTAATAAAGTAGAGGAAGGAAGGGTGGGTGATAGCGGATGATCTGCAAGCAACGAGAGGGTTGAGGCTGAAGAGCTTATCGCAGCGGATGTCGGACTGACTTCGACTCTTCCAGATGGGTGAGTAGGTTGAGATCTAAGCTCCATACGATGCCGCCATCCACAAAGGATCCGGGCGGGGATGAAGGGATAGTATAGTGGTATGGAGTGGAGGGGTGTGTGTGTGTGTGGGAAAGAAGGGATGGGGGTCGGTCAAGCAAGATGGAGCAGAGGAAACGGAAGGGTAGGCGAGAGGGCAAGACAGAGGCGGTGGGGTGAAGATAAAGTATGGTGGGTGTGAGTGAGTGAGTGAGGGCACAGGGAGTAGAGTGAGTGAGTGAGAGAAGACAATGAGAAGATGTGAGTGTGGGGGGTGGGGGTAGTACACTACGGCAGGGAAAAGGATTTCACTCTCTGTAATCACCACTTTTCCCTTTCTTCCTTTCTTCTCTTTCTGTGCCTTTTTTTCCCGTTCTACAGTACCGGTATTGGTTCGAATGCTAGTCAGCTACCTACCGACGTCACAGACCCTCTTCACTTCTTCTCTCTCTCACCTCCTTCCTCTCTCTTTCTCTTCATTCCTCTCCTACCGTACGTTGACTATATCGTCCGCGGTGGAAAGAAAAATAGATTTCCTTTCTCTTCAGAACCTTTGGAGGGGGGAAGCCGAGTTTGGTTGCTTGATGGAAGTGGTGGCTCAGTTACACACACGTATCCCCATGAAAGGGTAATGCACAACATCAAAAGGCCCTTTGTGGTCTGGGTATATCCAAACACCAAGTAAACACTTGCGTTGATGTCTCACCTTTTTTCACCATGTCATAAACCTTTCTCACCAATGATCATTATATCGCACAATAGTTGTTCGTTAGCGGCCTGCCACTACAGTATGCCAACGCTACAACTCTTAAATGCTCATGTAACTCTCGTCAATCATTTGTCGTCACTCTCCAACCCGGCACTTTACACCTTAACAGGATAGTGGTACCCTACGGCACAGTTCAAAGCTTAGGGCCTTATCGATAACAGGAGCATCACGGGTAGCGATTGCCGGCATAGTACCGGTATGCCATATTTCCCCCCGTTACGATACGTGCCGTCCATAGGGCATATGATTTCCCTGCCAAAGCATCCAGCACCCGTATCGTGACTTCAATAAGGGCAAGCAAAAATGCTCCAACAAACCTTATCAATCATAGCTCAAGAACACCTGACCGCGATCTTCGCAAGTGTGATATGATACTTCAAACCAATTTGGAGCCCCTTAGGAACTGATCACGAACCAAACAGATGGGGTGAAAGGGAGATTCTAGAGAGAGAAAAGAAAAGAAAAAAAGTTCGATGTGATATTCGTGTGTCTCTTTCCCTGCATAACATGCACGACCCCAGCCGAACAAAATAAACTATGGCAAACCCTGGAACGCCTTCCCTACCGGTCTTGCTATCCCTGTTCGTACTGCGTTCCATCCAACGTTCGAATATGGCATACATAATAAAGTTCCAGGTGAGATAATACATATATTGCGACAATGAAAACTCTAGTTTTCGTCCATCCCCTGCCTTTTATATTTGCAACAGATTCTATTAAAACATAAATAGACAGAATGACGTGTAGATTTTAGAAGGGGAAGAACGAAAAGAAAATGGAGAAATCTGCCATGGACATGCATAGCTGCGAGAGAAAACGCGGACCCGTAAAAAGATACAAGGAAAGTTTATAAGCGCGCTTGGTATCTTGAAAAGCAAAGAAATTATTTCTCTAAACGGAGTGAAACCAATGCAAAAACCTGTATCCCGGGACGCTCAAACCAATGGCTCTGGAGCGTTGAAAAGCAATAGAGTATAGTAACGAGACGCAAAAGGGAAACCAACAAAAACAGTAACCTAGCTGACTGTAACCTCTGTCGGTGCGCCCTCGCTGCCCTGTTTCCCGAGCAGAGCAAATCCTACCATGATGGGCTTGGATTTGTTGCGTGCAGAAATTCATGCAGCAGAATGAAAGTCGTTAAGTTAAAACATTATGAAATATAAAAACCCGATATATAAATATTCATGTGACATGGTATAGCTGAGATTTGGAGATATTATCGGTCGAAAGGATGGGTGAGAAGGTGACCAGATGAACAGTGGGGGTGAAACACATGCGTTTTACCACACACAGTAACCACCCTGTGTTCCATAAGTACTATGCAGTGGATTATTAAGTGGAGTAAACTTACATCCACAACAATGTCAGACCCGGTCATAAAGGTTGATGCATCAGATGCAAGGAAGATGGCAGTGTTGTTCAATTCATCAACATTTCCGAGACGGTTCATGGGTGTGCGGGAGCACCACATCTTCTTCTGGGCATCGAGAGCCGGGACACGGTTCAAAGCGGTATCCATGTAGCCTGGTGAGATCGAGTCTATTTCAGCAGTTAGCTCTCCGATTCAAACCCAATGCAAGGAATTCAATTACGCGAATTACTTACTAACGCGGATCTTGTGAGGAGCCCACTCAGTAGCAAGCGACTTGCCCAATTGAATGACAGCCGCCTTGGAGGCGTTATAGCAACTCTGCTGTTGTGGCCAATTGACAATATGCCCCGACATGGAAGCAATGAAAATGATAGAACCTCCAGTTCCCTGTTCGATCATGACCCTTCCAGCAGCCTGCGCACATAAGAATGTACCAGTGAGATTAATATCAATTAGACGACGGAATCGCCCAATATCGTAAGTTTCCGCAGGCATATTAGAGCTAGTGAAAAGAACGTCAGTAATTCATGAAGAGTCAAGCTAGGTGGCGGTTGGCGAAAATATACTCTGCAATTCCTGCGGAGCAAATGAGGACATCTACGCTCCCAAGATCCAGAGCAATCTATCAACGAAAAGTCAGGACCAATCATCCACTTGGGGTCGGAAAAGGGGATTTATACACTCTGGATAACATCATGAACAGCCTGTTCCTCACGAACATCCACCTTGTAGAACGCAGCGGCAATATTATACTTCCTATTCAAAGTCTCCGCCGCCTCATCACCATGCTCCTGCAAAACATCCATGATGGCGATTGCCTTGCAGCCAACCTGGCAGAGGGCCTCTGCCATGTTATACCCTAAACCTCGAGCACCACTAAAAGGGCAAAAGGCTTCCAATCAGCAAAACTGATTACTTCCATCCCAACCTAACCTAATCCAACCCAATGTGCGAGCAAGCAGGAGAATGATATCGTAGAAAGAATAGAAGGGGAACTAACCCCGTGACAACGGCAACCTTTCCAACCAAGCAAAACCTCTGGAGTGCCTCAGGAAGCATTGGGTGACCGGCTGCAGAAGAGGAAGTGGAGGCATACTGCTGTTGCTGTTGCTGTTGCGGCTGCTGTAAAGTGGTGCTCATACCAGTATCCTGATAAGCAGTATGGGTCTGAGGAACAAAAGACATAATTGAATTACGGAAAATGAAAAGTAAGAAAATTGAAAGTAAAAATTGAAAGAGAGAGAGGAAAAGAGATTGAAAAGGGCTGGTTCGTTGCTGCCGTTGATGCTGAGAAGGACAAATGGTGAATTGAAGTGGGGTATTCACTTCCTCTTATTCTAAAATAGCCGTCAGGAATTTGTGTTTTCCAATGTTTGAGAGGTGGAAATTGGGAAGGGAAAAATAAAATAGAAGTAACAATAGTGTATAGGTTTCAGGGGTTGGGGTAAGCCGATGAAAGGGAAATTGAAGTAGTTTATTAAGCTCTGGTGAGGGAGGAGAGGGTAAGAGAGGGAGGATAGAGAGAAGGGGGGATATGTGTCAGGGCAAGCAAACGCAGAGGGACCACAGAATTACAGGTTATGGAACAATTCTGTCATATGAAAACAAGAGAAGGATGAGAGTGAAAAGTGTGAAAAGATTAAAATAAAAAATAAAAATAGGGAAGCTAGTGTTTACCCGGTTTGGTGCGGAAGTAGGTGAGAAAGGAGCCTGACCGTACAGAATGTGTGTATGTAGAATAGAGTAAAGTGGGGATGGTAAAGTATGATATTTTTTTCTTTATTCCCCTCGTTTTTCCTTTTCCTTATTCCTCTCCCTACCCCACTTCAATTCTTCCAGTACGGTATTGGACAGTGTAGACGGTTACCAGCTGACGAGCAGCTGACTTCAGAGCCGAGCGTTAGGTTAGTGTAATGTTGGCGATGAGGATGAGGGGATGAGCAGGCAGGATGGCAAGTATGAACTTACTAGCAGAAGGAAGGAAGAAAGGAAGAAACGGGACAAGTCGTGTTATGGTAGCAAATATATAATATGCAGAATGCCGGAACGATGTGAGGTGAAGTGGAGTCGTGCGGTCAAGTTCAAGTTAAAACTTCCAAGGGATGGAGAGGGAGTGAGGGAAGGATATGATGCCGGTGTATTTCGATAGATAGATATCAAACGAACAAACGAACCAACCACGACAACCGGGGAAGGAAGAGAAGCCCTCAATATATACCCACCCGCCCCCTACTCTGAAAATGGCTGGGAAACACAGACACACAGAACACACATTCCTGCCACGGTGTCATGCAACGGTAGTAGTATAAATAAGCATCGTGTACCTACACCTGTCTTAAATGGTCAAAAGGGAGGGTAAACCGAACCATACCATGTCCAGTTAGCTCGCCCGCCCGACTGATGAACGAACAAGCGAACCAAAAACCTCCGCACAGACCGTGGGCCCGAAATCACGTAAGAGGCCTCCCTTCTGTCAACAGAGCTTGGGATTCTGACTCAAAGCACTGCAAAGCACCATAATATCGTATCCATAGTTCGAGCCAAGCGATAAAATGTATTACTATATGGTGTAGTTGTAGTTGTAGTGTGGTACGAGTAGTCGGGGGTAAGGGTATTTGCAGTGCGAGTACAAGGATGTATCATGAATTAATAGTACAGAGCAGGGATCAACACTTTGATAGTGGTGGTACGGTATCAAAATCCTATTTGGATCAGAGTTATTGAACCCAACAGAGCTAGAGACTAAAGAACAAAATATATCCTGATCATAGCTAACAGTTATCCCTTGGGCGGTCTGAAACAGTCAAATTCGGACCAATGCACACTAAACCTAGAGGGGTAACTTGGCGCTTATAAATCGACCAAGTGACATCAAATGATCACGGGCGCAATGTTACTCGCAAAATGTTTCCATCACATTATATGGAAATTAAGTGCAGAACAGAAGGAAAAGAATTGAAAAAAAACTATGAAAGAGAAAGCCCAGCGTGTCTCTTATCATAACACATTTTACAAAGAGAAAAGCCACAACCAGGTCCCAGACATTGATAGCTAGTATGTAATGCCCGTTGCCCTTTCCAATTCATGCCTTACAATACAAAGTGACATTGAGTGCAGCCAACCTTCTGAGAGTTTTCCAATCGAACTAATTAGTGATGAGCTTTAGTGCCGGTAGCAGGGGGAAGCATTGTTTGTTGCTGCTGGTTGCTGTACAGGGAAGTGCTGGTCTTGGGAGTATAGAAGGATTTTTGTGACTTCTGAAGTTTCTGTCCATATCTTGTAACAAGTAGTTCTAGAAGCAAAAGCCTAAACATGCCTGAACTACTATGGTACTGGGAGGAGGGAGAAAGCCGTCGCATGAGAAGATACGAATTAATAACAGTGGTATCCAATAGTTAATAAAAAATAGGAGGCAAATTTTGTAAACATTTCAATTGAGTAAAATGGTAGGTACTTGTAACGATCCCTCTTTGGATAGTTAGTTCTTGGCGACGGGGAACAATACTTCTCTGTTCTGTCTTCTTCTTCCTTCGTCTTAAGATAGCTCTATGCCTCTGCCTACGTTACCGATAGTACAAGACCTTTGTCTTCTATCGGGAACGCCTATCGTAAGCTTTCTCTAACTCGTCTTCGTGAAGAACCTTCCTTGGCATAACGATAACATTGCAATAAAGATAAAGATTGTAAGAGTGTTTTATATTCGTTAAAGTAATAGATAGGAAAAGTACTTAGAACAAAGCGTGAAGAACCTATCTTCCTCAGCCGCATCGGCCTCCTTATATAGTATTCTTCCCACCCGTAGTCATGTGACCTAAAGTGGTCACATGTGCGAAACCAAATCATAACAAACTAGTCATGTGACCAAAGTGATTACATGCTCAAAACCCATGACCTCATAGCGAGGTCATGTGCAAAAACTCATAAACCAATCATAACACAATAAACAAGTTATATGACTCGACTGAGTCATATTCGCGAAACCCATGACCTCATAACGAGGTCATGTGCGAAACATAAATCATATGCGCAAGGCTTGCCCGCAAGGCACACTCACAAGGCATACTCGCCAGGCGCACGTCCCATAACTCATATTTGAGCCATGTGCGAAAGTATCACAAATCCCACACATAACAAATCATATGACCCAAATGAGTCATATGTGTAAAAATAATAACATACCTGTAACTCATAATCATGTGTCATGTGAAAGCCTCTTTCATGCCAAGCCATGTTTGTGATACTACTATACTGATTGGCTACATCTACTCTGACCTTATATTGGTTGTAATTATGAGTGATTGTGGGGATTGGAATCTTAGCTTGCTCTGGTAGTCCAAAGGCTCGATGGATCACAGGCCCATTACTGCTAGTAATTTGAGGCTTTTTATGCTTGAAGATAACTTGATCTGTAAGGTTATGCATGGTGGTAAGGAAATGGACAGCAGTAACTGGTATGGGTACTCAGTTAAGCGTCTTGTTTTATGTTTTGTTTTAAGTATTGTTTGATACTTGATTTTGTTTTGTGTTTTGTTTTAAGCATTCTTTTAATACTTAAGTTATTTTACCAAAGTATATCACTTGATATCTCTGATTAGTTTCATTCATGCTAGACATGAACAGATTTATGTATTTAAAGACCGCCTAATTCCACAATGGAAAAGGCAGACTTAGATGAACAGTATTTCAATATACTCGTTTGAATGGTTGCTTCTTTGTTTCTTCAGTCAAACCCTGAAGTCCTTTTTAGTTTTACACTCTCACCTCCTCTCTGGTAGAGCAGGCTACCTGCCAACTATCATACCTATCACAGATAACATGACTAGCACCTTGCAAGCACATTACATTTTTTTAACCTCAGCAAATGGTTAAGAACCTGTCACAGGATTTAGACTTGATCAACCTATTGATATCTATCTCAGAATACTAGCAGAGAGAAGCAGCAGAATCACAGTACATTTGGCTTGGTCTCAATACTAACATAAAGTCATTGATGACTAGGAGTGGGAAATGGATCCCACAGAAGAACATTTTAAGAAAGAAAGAAACCTGACACTCTGATAAAGAGCCTGAAGAACCCACAAATACAGAAGCCCCACAAACTCCAGAAGATCACCCCCAACACCAGCAAAGAAACCTACCCTCGAAATCCCAAATGACTCTAAGTCAAGTGGTAAATCAGATATGGCTAGTACAGGAGGAGGACTATCAAGAGGTGGAAAATCAAGGGTAAGACCAGAAGAAGAAGAAGACCTCCAGTTATCCAACATACCTGGACTCAAGCTCCACCAACTATCCCAGTTTACAGGAGAAGGAAAAGATGTCAAACCTGAAGTTTTTGATTGATGGGTAACATTGCTTGTATACTATCTTCTCCTGAAGAAAGTAGATATGGAAAAAACC